CTTGGGAGGCTGAGGTGGGAGGACTGCTTGAACCTGGGAGGTCAAGGGTACAGGGAGCCATGAACATGCCACTGCACTCCAGCCTGGGCGACTGAAAAAAAAAAAAAAAATAGAGAATGATAATACATCAGATTCCGTTTGGATTTGTGTTCCCACCCAAATCTCATGTTGAATGGTAATCCCAGTGTTGGAGATAGGGCCTGGGTGGTGTCTGGATCATGGGGGTGAATTTTTCATGAATGATTTAGCACCGTCTCTCTTGGTACTGTCCTCAAGGAAGATAGCGAGTGAGTTCCTGTGAGATCTGGTTGTCTGAAAGTGTGTAGCACTTCCTTGCTTGGTTTCTTGCTCCTGCTCTTGCCTTGTGACATATCTGCTCCCCACTTGCCTTCTGCCATAATTGTAAGTTTCCTGAGGCCTTCCCAGAAACTCAGCAGATACTAGCACCATGCTTCTTGTATAACCTGCCAAACCGTGAGACAATTAAACCTCTTTTCTTTATATATTACCCAGTCTCAGGTATTTCTTTATAGCAATACAAGAACAGACTAATACATCTTTCCAAGATGCCATCTTTGGAGAAAACATCCATTAGGGCATTTAAATTCTATACTGTGTTATATATATTGTTTCTTTCTAAATATATAATCACCCACTCAATACTTGAGGAAAATATTTTAATGTATCCTTCTTTATAAGTGATATGCCATTTACTGACATTTCTCCTTTTCTTCTGTTGCATCCTAAGTTAAGAACCTCATACAAGTAAGCACAGTGGCTCACACCTGTAATCCCAGCTACTTGGGAGGCTGAGATGGGAGAGCCACATGAGGCCAGGACTTTAAGACCAGCTGAGCAAGTGAGCAAGACTCTGTCTCTAAAAACATACAGCTAAATTAGCCAGTTGCAGTGGCATGTGCTTGAAATCCCAGCTACTTGGGAGGCTGAGGCAGGAAAAGTGCTTCATTCCAGGAGTTTGAGGCTGTAGGGAGCAATGGTCGCAATACTACATACAGCCTGAGCAACAGAGACAGACTCCATCTCTAAAACAACAACAACAACTGCAAAAAAAAAAAAAAAAAAAAAAAGCAACAGCAGCAGCAGCAAGTACAATCCTGAGTGAATCATCTCCTTAACCTGGTCCCTTCAATTTCTGTTTTCCCACCATTTTCTTTTCCTTGGCCTTTAAAACATTAAAGACTTTATATTTATCCCTATCTTGAAATAATCTTTGACTTCATTTCCTTTATCTTGTTTTTCTACTTCCTTTTATTGTCAGAATTCTTTATCAGGTAGTCTATAGCATAGCTTCTTGAGCTCGTCTTTGCCCTGCCTTCTCTGTCTGATATTATACTGAAAGTCCTTAAAACTCAGTCTTTATTCTTTACTTTCTGATGGTTTGTGAAACTGTTAGCCACTCACTTTTTCTTGAAAATCTCTTTACCAGACTGCTCACCCATTTCACTACTGGGGAGGCTCCCTTTGCTCTCAAATGGATGACATTTCACAGATTGGTCCTAGCCATTTTCCCTTGTTCTTGTAGAGGGCAGATGCACTCTTGTAGTCTTGACTAGATAATTAGGTGAGAGGCTCTTTCATCTGTTTTTCCAGCCTAAAACCGTCATCCAAGCTCCACTTCATCATCTAAAACTGCATCCTAAACACGACCACTCATCTATCCTAGCATCACCTTAAACTGTTACATTTGGTCTCAAAATGCTCTAAGCAAGTTTGTCCAACCCATGACCCACAGACCACATGCAGCCCAGGATGGCTTTGAATGCAGTCGAACACAAATTTGTAAACTTTCTTAAAACATTATGAGATTTATGCACAGACTTTTTTTTTTTTTTTTTTTTTT